AATAATGAAAAGAAAATTTTTTTATGGCTATGTAGGGGCATTGAGATACAATACAGCTGGGTGAAAAGGACTGCTAATTCTTTTGCAGATGGGTTGGCCAAGCAAGGGGTATAGGGAGGCTATTTTTTGGTCTAATTTTTAATCTTATTTCATTGTAATTTACTGATGGGGAGATAAGACTCTTTATCTCCCCCTTATTGTACCTAAATCTTAATAAAGTTTCTGTTATTGATAAAAAAAAAAATTCAAACAAGTGGGACCTATAAGTTGAAGGACACAGATCAACACAAAGAATCAAAAAATGGTAATGCTTATGGGAGGTTAGTATTTGAATCTTCTACATACAACAACATCAGTGATTTGAAACAATAATCATGGAACATTGGTCTCTTTCTATGTCTCTTGAAAAGAAAAAGAATATGCTGAGTATCATTAACCAAAGCAAACAAGAAAGGCATTCTGAATTGATAATTGAAAGAAATTTTACTAGAGAAATGAAAATACAACCTTCCTGTAGAGCTTGCAAGCACTTCCTATGAGTTGCCTTGAGACAAAATTAATAAACGATGGGGGAACAAAATCCAACTTGAGATCCATAGTTATTACTGTCCTGCAAAATTAGAAGAAAATACAGGGTAAAAACATCGCAATAGAAACCATATAAATGTAATACAAACATATGTACCTACTATGGTGGAAGATGCCAATTAAAAAATTGTATTGTGGTGCTACATAAGCAGTTTCCTTTTCAACCCCTCCTATAAAGCAAAATTAATAGTTTCCCACTAATAGTGATGTTAGAGAGCTGAAGTACATTGAAGTCCTTCAAGATTGATGCCTAAGAAAAGACTGTTCTTTCAAAGATTTAAATCAGAATATGCATTTCACACTGCTTCCCTTCAAAATCCTGTTGTTTATCTCCTTCCAAATGCACCAAGATATGGCAAAGGGGATTGGATTCCACAACAGCCCATCTGTTTTGCTAAAGCCCCTGGCTGGCCAAGAATTAATTGAACTCTCTAGGTCATGGGGAATGACCCTATTCCTAAAAAAATCTTGATGAATTGGCACCATGCTAATGTGAAGAACCTGCAGTGAATGAGAAGGTTCTGAACAGATTCCAAGGCAGAGGTGCACAACAGAATCTAAAGTATCTTGTTTGTTTTTACAAGGCAAAATGGTCTATAACCACACAAGTTGTTTCAATAACTTAATCTTGCTGTACAAAGGGTGCTGCATGTGACAACAAAAAATTCTTGAAACATGATCTTCAAGAAAGAAGTAGGTTGATAAAGAGATTTAACAACCTACCTCATGGATATCAGCTTTGTCTGTATTATATTATAGATGTACATACGAAAAAAATATCCCCATATATTAATTATATCAAGCCTTGACATACAAAGTTTCATTTTGTTAGAAATAATGGTTATTTGATGCTATATTGATAGGGGTATTTATGTCTTTGTAACCTGTGCATACCAGTGGGGCTGGCTGAATGTTTCTCTGTTATAGTATATGCATATTTGGCTCTGTTAGCTGGGTTATATAGAGAAGCCTAAACAACCAAGGAATGACATGTGGAGTGGAATTGAGGGATAAAAAGGACAATACATATTGCCTCAGCAGCTTCTATTCAACGGGCAAGTTTAAATTTGAAACCCCTTGCTATTTGGCCAAAACAAACCCTTTTATTTATTTAACTTTTTTGGGGGGATGGGGGCATTTTTTAAATTAGACTATGTAGATGGTTCATATGACTCTGGCAAAAGATCAAATATAAGGCCACTTGGCATTAGGCAGAATTGGCATCTCCTATTGGACCACTAAAGGTCCAAATGGAACTCCCTGATTGAGGGGGATGTGCCAACAATGGATTGAACAAGAACTGCAAATTAGAGCTTTCATCAAACTGAATCTAGAACACCCACTTCACCAAGGATAACGGCTGGACCCCCCTACCTATAGGTCCTACTAGATCAAAATAGGTGAATCCATTAAATTCTTTTGTCAGCAACATCCAAGAAGAAGACCATTAGTCCATTACCTGATGCAGTTCCTGGCTATATGAGGTCTTAGGAAGGATGGGTTGAATATGGACCTAAGCTTTGGCAATTTAGCATGGATTGGTAACTTTTAGACTTGAACCCACACGTTCATTCTTATCAGCTCAACATTTCATCCAAAATGGAGAAAACTGACCCTTAAAGCTTGAAATGAAGCATTTTTTTCACTTAAAGATGCGTCTGTTCCTCTGTTCCCACTTCCTCAGATCACTGCATCAATAATACCCTTTCAATACAACCGACCTCTTGATTAAGGACGGGAAGGAGAAACTCCCATTGGAGTGAAAATGGTAGGAATAAGGAGAATCAAGGATCTGAATTATGAGAATAATAGATTCAGATGTAAATAGAAAAGAGAATGAAAAGAATAATGCACTTTTAAAAGAAAAGAGAGAAAAACAAGAAAGCCGCACTATTACACTCAAGTAACTTCAATATAAAGCTTTATTCCATAAAATCAACTCTAAAAATTCAACTACAACTCTATTTGTAGACTAAACATGAGTGCTCAAATCTCTCTTTGTAGACTCCAATTTCAACTAGAAAGCTAAACTAAAGCAAATTCCAACCACTTCAAAACTAAGGAGGTGTTTGGTACAGTGGCGTCTTGTTGCCATTGCGTTTTTGGTTAATCAATACAAATTTGTGAGAAAAATGTATTGCCACATTGTATATGAATGTCATTTCAATTAGAAAAATGCGTGTAAGAAACATCAAATTTGATGTTTTAGGTAGAGATAGCAATTTGTATTGATCAACTTAAAACACTTCCAAAACATTTGAGGTAGAAAAATCTCTCATACTATTGATAAAAAAAAAAAAAAAAACTTTCTCATACAAAATTGTATTGGTCAACCCAAAACACAAAGGCAACACAACACCATTGTTCCAAACACCCCCTAAGGCAATCAATAGGTAACACATAGGTAAAGACTCTAACTTCTAAAATAACTTTGAATACCCATTATTAATCTTTCTATCTAAGACTAGTGTAAAGAAACCAGAAAACAAATTTGAAAACTCAAAAATCCAAAACATCCAAAAATTATGAAGTTGCCATTGAGTGAGGTTAGGAGAAAAGACGAAAAAGAAGATCAACTATTATCCATGTGTAATTCAATATGAACCTGTTGAGATCTACTGGTTTATTTTATTAGTTTTTATGTTGCTGTTTTTCAGGGTCATTTATGTCCTTTCCATCACTATTGTGTTACAGTCAACTTGACAAGCACAAAAACACAGGTTTGAGTTTAAGAGTAACCATTTTATGAACCAAAGGTTAGGTCTGTATCCAGTCCATCCCTCCCAAAACCCCAGATAGTTGGAACTAACATTAGTTAATGGCCTCACTTGATAGTTGTTACTCGTATAAATGGAAAAGGGAGTTCCCTCAAGGTCTCAACTAGGAAGCTAACTCAAAACAAATTCTAACTACTTAAAACTAAGGCAACCCAATGGGTAACACACAGGGACACTCAAATTAAGGACTCTAACTCCTATTAGTAAATCCAAAGTTATTAAATACTAATTTTGATTTCACTAATAGAAGCATATTTCTATAAGATTTAAACCTTATTCCTAAGACGCCCAAATGAGAAAATAAATTTAAAAACTCAAAAAATCCAAAACATCCAAGAATTGTGAAATTGCGATTGGATGAGGAATTCAAAAAAAAAACTGATTGCTTTCTCCATGGATTCTTTCCTTGCTTCCATGCTTCCATCATGAATATTTTAGATAAGTTGCCCAGTGCCACCAAGTTTAGGCCTACTGGTCTCATGAGCATCTAGTAACATACCACCATGTTTTTACTTTATATATACCAACATTAACCAACACCATGCAGAAGGAGCTGGGAGTGATTATGGCTTCAAACTGCAATTCTGTAGTAAGGTATACATGATTCCATATTTGATGCACTTCATTAAGATTCATAAGACTCAAAGTAAGAGAACTTCCTTTACCCAATGAAGTTAGATAATATACATATATTAGAGTTTTAGTGGGTGGATATTTTTTTCCATCCAATATGCCACATGCAATATATATATTGAAAGGTAAAGTAAGATTTTATTAAATCAGATAGTACAAGTTACAACAGAAAAGGTAGCCACATAAGGACTAGACAGAGCACTAAGCCAAGTTACAGACTCCAAATGGACTTGGATCTAAACAAATTGGGTACATTCAGGTTCTTAAAGTCAGGAGTAATAGACACACAAGAAATCAGCTTGCTGACTGCCTTGTTACAAAAGACTCTCCTGTTTCTCTCTGACCAGATTACCCAAAGAACAGCCACAGGAATGGTCTTCCATATTAACTTTCCTCTTTTCTTCAGGCCTGTAATCTCCCAGCTAAACACAAGGTCTTTGACTGAACTTGGCATGACCCAGCAAAGTCCAACAGCCCTGAGAAAGTGATCCCACACTCTAGAGGAGATAGGACAGTGGATGCACAGGTGGTCTATGGATTCAGGCAATAGACCATAGAGGCCACACAGCAGAGAAGAGAGATGAAGAGTTGAAGACCCCTCCTATCCAAATTGATTTTAGAGAGCATTTGTTCAGCACCATTGTCCACACAAGGAAGTTGGATTTAGAGGGAGAACTAGGATTCCAAACTTGCTTACAGGGGAAGTTAACACCACCAGTGCTACTGAGTTAAAAGTCAGGGATTTAACTGAGAAGCAGCCATCCCTACTCAAGATCCAGTTTTTTTTTATCAATAACTCCAGATCCAGTTCCATTCATCTTTACTGTTGGTACCTATAATTTGACCCTGTAACAGGTCCAACAGCTCCAAGACCCCATCTACTTCCCAATCAAACAGGTTTCTTCTGAACTGAGGGTTCCAGACCACTGTGTTATTGGAGAGAGAATATGAATCCACCACTGAGACTTCTTGATTTGCTGCACATTGAAAAAGAAGGGGAAATGCCTAAGCTAAAGGTCTATTCAAACACCAAGGATCTTTCCAAAACTTCAGCCTGTCCCCTCTACCCACCTTAAATATCACACCTTCATACATCAAAGGTGGACTTTTGAGAATACCTTTCCAAACAGAGCAACCCCAATTTGGGAATGAATCCTGTGAGTTCTAGTTTCCCCAATCCACCCCGTACTTAGAGGCAATTAAGTTCCTTCACTAGGGATTTCTTTCAGAAGCAAACCTCCAGCATCACTTACTCAGAAGAGCAGAATTTACCACCTTCAACTTTCTTAGGCCTAGACCCCGTCCTCCCTAGACTAAACAAACTTGATCCCATTTCACAAGATGAATTTTTCTCTCTTCTTCCCAACCCCTCTAGAAAAAGTTCCTCTGCAGATTTTCAAGCTTCTTAGCTACTTTGGCTGGAATGGGAAAGAGGGATAGGAAGTAGGTGCAAAGATTGGCTACAGTACTTTTGATAAAGTCACTCTACCTCCAACAGACAAGTACTTAGCCTTCCAAGAGGCTAGTTTTTTCTCCACTCAATAACTGGACTCCAAATAGCAAAAGAAAAGCACTTAGCCCCAAGGGGAAGGTTCAGGTACTTCACAGGAAGGAAGTCCACCTGGCAGGCCATCAAGCTAGCACAATCTTGCAAGTTTGGAATAGGACCCACCGGAATGATTTTGCTTTTGTGAAGGTTAACTTTAAGACCTGAAACCACTTCAAACTAGGGGTGCTCATGGTTTGGTTAACCGAACCGTGGGTTTATTTTTTAAACCGAACTGGGGTTATTGGTTTTTGGAAAACTGGTAACCGAAATCGAATTGAAGCCAATCGGTTAAATGTCGGTTCTGTTCGTCAGTTTTTTGGTTTTTTTATTATTTACAATATATATTATAGAAAAATATATAAATATATAATAAAAATTAAAAATATATAAATATTACATTTTAAATAATAAATAATAGGATAAATTTCTTAAACTACCTCTACTATTTGCGAAATTGACTAATTGTATCCTTACTGTTTATATATTATCTTAAATTACCCTTATGTTTTCTGACAATTGTCACACCTCCCTTACCGTTAGTTAACGGTCATAAACCATTTGCATGTGACACCACCTGATTAATAATTTTGTCTAGAATTCCTCAAATGCCCATTTATGGTCGAAAATGCCCTTTTCATTTATGGTTTGGTCACCACTGGACTATTTATTGCATTAGGGCTCGGTCACCAGCGGCCTCTTACACGTATCTGAGCCGTTATTTGCCAGTGTCGTAATCATCGAAGGTGACCCATTTTGTTAACTTTTAATATCCGCCAGCAACCCTTTTTTTCTGTTCATCTTCTTCCTGCTCTCGACAGCAAACAATAACAATGATTTTCTCCCCCTTCCAACCTCGTCTCTGTTTAAATCATTCCTTTCTTCTTGCTTTGTTTCCATTTATTTCTCACATAGAAAGCTTCCATGGGCCCAATCATGGATGCAGTTTGGCAGAAGGGAAAGTACCTTGGCACCCAAAACACGTTATCTTCGTTCACCTTTGTGTTGATCGCAGTGGTTCCACAACAGTGGACGATTTTACCTCCCCATCTCTTTGTTTTCGGTTTTCGTTTCCTTCACTCCCGAAAACATGTCACCTTCGTTCACCTCTGTTTTCGGTTTCCTCCACTCCTCAAAAAGAGGACATATAACAATGGACGGTTTTCCCTCCCCATCTCTCTCTCTCTTCTTCCCGCTTTAAATCACCTAAAAACATCTGAACAACACATCTCTACAAGGCGTACCTTAATCAACAAATCTCTACATATTTGTATTTGTACTTGCTTCAATTTCTCTCTTGTTCTTCTTTTATACAGCGCAGTGAAATGCTGGAGCAGAAACAAACAAGGTGAAGATGTTAGACGAACCATTTTGTTTTCTAGTATAAATTTCAAGTCACTTCAAGTTCAAAGCGTTGGCCTGAAAGAACAAACCTGGCATTTGATATGGTATAAAAAGTACATGTCCAGAATCGAGACAAACATAATCTAGTATTCAACGAATGTAGATATGAAAAGAGTTGAAGCTGGTATGTGTGGTGATTCGTTCTAGAAACATGGCTGAGAGGGTTGAGTGAATTTCAACAGGGTTGTCGCATATTATGGGTACAAGCAGAGCAACGGCAACGGTGGAGACGGAGCAGGTGAAGAAGGAGATCCAGGAGAGGTGGAAGGTCCTCATATGGGGATTGGCAAATGAGAAGATCTTGAAAACCTTGGCATGGTGCTCGGAGTCCACTGGTAAGGCGAATTCTACGGTTGCATCTGTTGGGACAATGGGCGAGGTCACGGAGAAGGCAAAGCTCTGTAGTGTTGTCAATAGTAACCCATATGGTTACTATGTTTCTGAAACCAATCGACGAGGACACGGAATGGTAGCTTTTGGGTTTGCATTTCAGTTGAAGACCAATTCGATCCATTTCCGAAACATCATTTCGTTTTTTTAGAAACAACAAGCGTAATTTAAGACAATATGTAAACAATAAGGGTACAGTTAGTCAATTTCACAAACAGTAGGGATAGTTTAAAAAATTTACCTTAAATAATATATTATATATAAATATATATATTTATATATTTATATATAATGCATATTTATTAATTTATAATGTATAAAAAATATCAAATATATATGATATATATAAATATACGTAATATATATATACCAGTCGGTTCAGTTAATCGTCAATTTTCTATTTTGGTTAATCGAAACCCAACCGGTACCTTCGGTTTTTTTTAAATACCGAACTGACCGGTTCTGTTAACTGAATTTTCGGTTAGGTTTCGGTAGGTTTTTCAGTTTTTCTTGCTCATCCATACTTCAAACCAGCACAATACTCCAAGTAAGAGCTCCAATTGATCAATTGTCGCATTTACGAAACATAGGGTATCATTCTGCAAACTGCAAAATATTGAATTTTTCTGCTTCCGGGGCAATAGCAAAGCCTTCCCAAAGCCCATTAGTCGCAGCCTTAAGGGAGAATTGGGAGAGAAGTTCCATTAGGCAAATGAAGAGAAAGGGTGATAGAGGGTCACCCTATCTAAGGACCCTAGAACTTTCAAAAACCTCTTCTAACATGAGTTTCCCCTTTACTGAGTTCAAAATAAATGCTCCAACCCAATGACATAACCCTCTCTCTTTCTCTCTCTACTAGTTAGTCTAACTCTCCTCTGGTCTGTTTACTTAATCACACCCTATATATATATATATATATATATATACTTACCCATATATATAACTTTAAGCATTGCACCCTTAAAGTTAAAAAGAGTGAAACGAAGATCACATACTTACCCATAGCCATACATAATTTCAAACAAATGTTTACTCTATTCACCCAACTCTAATATTCCAAGTACAATGTTTGTTTATAAACCAATTATTATGCTCAGATCTCCTTTTACAGACCTGAAATTCAACTAGGAAACCGACCTGAAACAACTTCTAACTGCTTCAAAACTAAGTCAATCCTATAAGTAACCCATAAGGAGTTAGATTCCTAAGATAACTCTAATAACACTATAGTAATCCTACTACAACACTTGTCTTGTTTAATCAAGGAAAATAGTACAAAACAGATCAGAAATATGAAGATTCAAGAAAGCAGAATCAGTAGAAGGAAAAAAATGTAGGGAGGGGAGAAGATAAACAAATGAGAGGGAGTAACTTTCTTAAGGTGTGTTCACCCCATTCTATTGCTTACGTGAACATGTTACAAGTAATGGTAAGAAGAAAAGAATGTCCTTAAGTAAGCAACAACAATATGGAATAATAAAAACAAAGAAAATAAAGCCCACTAGAGGCCAATAACTCAATAAACCCATTTCTCAACAATAACTACGTTAACCAACAACAATTCCAAGAGTGATCCATAGAAATAAACTTAACTTGTCTCAACCTTAACCCCAACTATTTGGGGTTGTTACACAAATCCTGTCCTTACAATACACTTTATCAAAAGCCATGATCTATCAGAACTCAAGAAATAAAATGACCCAAACCTTGTCACAAATTGACACCTTATCAATGAAATGGCCATAATTCACTCAAAACATGTTTTACAAAATTTTAGTCTAATTTGATAGACAACTCAATAAACTACCTAATAATATTATGCAAAATAAACAAGAGCCTCCAAGAAACAGATTGAAAGAAAAGTGATGTGATTATGTTCTACTTTTCCAAACCCTCAATTCTTTCTAACAAAACTCTTTAAACTAATTTGACCCCTCAATATAATTAATTTTATCCCTAAGACACTAATAAACTAGAAAATAACTTTGAAAGAGCTCATAAAAATGAAAATGTAATTCAAAAATATGAAGAAACTTGATTTCTTCTTTCACAGTTTCTTCCCTTGGTTCCATGCCTGCATCATACCCCCTAGAATGGTTCAATATTTTTACAAAGAACAGTAACTCACCGGTAGTAGCTCATTTCTGAGGTTAACTTTTTCAATGCAAAGCCTCCGACCAAATCTATCCGCACCATATTGTTTGCTTCAGATATACATTCATTGGTGAACCCATGGGTGCTTCTATTTATGCTTTCTAAGTCAGAGACCTGAAAACAAAGTTTCAAATCAGAATGCTCCTGGCTCCTGAGAAAGAATGAACAGAACCTATAATGAGTATAAAATATCCAATAAAATGTAAAATGTGCAAGTCACTACCGAGTTTATAAGCACAATGATAAGATCATCTTCAAAGAACTCCAATTCAAAAAAGTGCACAATTGCCTCTCTATCTGATAGTGGCCAAGAAACCTTCATCCTTTCTTCCAAACAGTTAACAAAAAATTCAACATTTTGAATTGGGCGAAATGCCAAAAGCCATCAAGTGAATGTTGAACCATTGTGGGACGAACCTCACTAGAGATACTTGTTCACCAATTCGAACCTTTTGCAAACATCCAGCTTTGAGAATTTTAAAAGTTGGAATGGCATACTGAGGCCACCTGGGGGAAAAAGATGTTACACCAGTGTCTCTGAAAATGTCTTTAATGTTTGAGTAGAAACAGAAATGCCAATCAATTAATGCAAGGAACCAACAGCTTATGATCGAAGGACAAGAAAAATATACAGTAAATGCAAGACCTACAAAAGGGCCTTTAATTTCTATCATATCTAAAACCATAAACCATAGATAAAGATAAAAAGAATTCTCACCATCGACCATATAGCTCTGACTCCATTCCTACACACAAACCTGCAGAGTCTCACTTGATCATATGAGAAATCTAATCGCCTATGTAATTAATTAATGGATAATTGCAGAATACAACTCAAAAATCTCTTTCTCGAGTATCAGTATCAACTTACAAATATCTAGAGGTGCATCTACATAACCTTCAGCAAGAAGTGTGTGGAAGGGAGTGCCTTGGGGTCCTTCGCGATACATAACACGGAACTGTTCACCATCCTCTTTTATCTGTCAACAGTAAATTTTTTCCTCTCATTCACACTCTTCATAAGGTAAGTTAGACTAATTTACCGTAAATATACAAAAACTAACTAAATTAGAGTTTGGCTTCAGTCAGTGCAGCACCTGTTCGAACAGCCTTTATGGCCTTGAATTGGGAATATCTCCATACATATGTGCTTTATTTCATGGGGAGATATTCCCAATGCAAGGTTGCAAGAGGCTGTTTGAATGGTGTGAGCAAAGACTTGCACTGACTAAAGCTGAACTCAATATATAATACATTAGTGACACATAGGGACCACATATTGGATCCCATCACTCTTATGTGTCCACCAAAGAGCCATATTCGTCTCAAACTCTAAATGTCAAGAGGGAAAAGAAATAAATTGATATAACAATAAATGAAATATAAGGGCCTTTTCGTTTGTTCTGAAGTCTGACATATGAAAGTGCAATAATTACATTAAGAGGTATATTGGCATCGGTGAACTTTTCTTTCCTCTGAACTTTGAAAGTAGAGAATATTATTCTGAATTCTGAATTCTGAAAATGATCAAATATCCATTTTGACCCCATATCCGAGAGCTTTTGTTTGTCTTTTTGGGGGTATCATTGGAAAATTAAAAGTTGTATGATTGCATTTTAAGAAATAAGAGATCAGAGGAAACTAATAACCATTTTTCTCTTAAAATTAAAGGATTTCTCTTAAGAAATAAGAGTTAAGAGGAAATGAATAGGTCCTAAGGGTTCATTATCATTGAAAAATTAAAAGTTGTATGATTGCTTCTTAAGAAATAAGAGATAAGAGGAAACTAACAACCATTTTTCTCTTAAAGTTAAAAGATTCCTCTTAAGAGATAAGAGTTAAGAGGAAATGAATAGGCCCTAAAGGTTCATTTGGCTGTCAGGGAATTCTTTCTAGGAAAGGATGGGATGAGAAAAATAAATTCATTTTTCTCATGTTGCCATCTTGTGTTTGGTTGCTGCTAACTAACAAATATATGAGAAAATTCATTTTCTAGTGTTTAGTCTCCAAGAAAAATAAGTTGTAATTTGGTCAATTTTTTTTGCACATCTATTGGTATGTTTAACAATGTGCACAGCCATTGTACCTTATCCCGTGGTTCACATGGAGAGTTGAGGAGCCACACATCATGTCAGATTTACCACGTGGGTATTCGTATTCACATTGGTCACATGCAATGTTTTAAAAGTAACCCAGAGGTTGAACCGGTTTTCCTTCTGGGTCAACGGGTCAATCCATGGCATCACGACAATAAAAAAATGCAAGAAAGAAATATAAAACCTGGTGGCCCAATAAACTGGTTGAACAGGTTGGTGGTTCAGCCATATAGGTCAATGGGTTTTTGCAATCTAGGGGGTTATAGGTTATAACTGGGTCTGGAGTCATGACTTTCAAGTCACCAGTCTGACCAGATGGGTTAATGAAGGGTTGAAAGGATTGGTCACGTCACGTGAGCATGTGAATGAGAAAAACTTTCTCACTGATTTACTGAGGCCCTGCACCCATCATTTTCTGACGGGGTTTCCCATGCCACAAAACAAACACCACAAAATGGCGTATAATGGAAACATTTCCCTTTTCTCTCGTCCATTGCTCAGCAACCAAACAGACCCCAAAGGAAAACATTTCTTAAACTTGATAGCATACCTTCCAATCAGCATCTGGTGTTTCACTAGCACTCTTCACCATACCAAGAAAATTTGATACTTCAGTGGTTCTCTCATCTATGACATATTCTATGTTTTCTGCACAGAACAGTTACAGACAATTAGCAATGTCTACATGCTAATACTAGTTACTGTACTACACATCGCAAGTAGCATGTAGCATTTAAAATAGAGGTCCTCGGAATATTATTCTTGTAAAAAAAAAAAGGAGAAAATGTTAGAACAACCAACCGTGGTTCTCAGAATATGATGAATTTAGGAGTTGATTTCGGATAACATTCTTGATATATTCCCCATTTGCAAGATTGGGTGATGACAGGGTATGATCCATTTCTTCTCGATATGTTGAGATCTTTCGTTTCTGATCCATTTTTTTCATCTATAGACATACCAAAAGAAGTTCCTTGCCTCAAAAGAGTCAGGCAGCAAATATACGTTGAGTTCTTGGTCAATGTAGATATAACCTGAATTTGAGGCAAAACCAATTACATTAATGAGATAGTTGCCATGAATGTGCATAAATGGTCAACAGGCAAAAACTGTTTTTTTGCAGAACACACACACGCACAGAAGGGGAGAAGGGGATAATAGCAAAGAATAGAACTAAAAACATCTCTTATTTGAGCATGCTAACTGCAAACCTGAATGATCAATTCCACTAATTTACCTCAAAAGATATACAAAGCATGTCTCAGATGTCATAAATATATACAAAGCATGCCTCAAATGCAAAATTTATCCTCAAATTCAGAATAGAGAAATCATCCCATGAAATGCCACAGATCGGTAGAGACTACAGAGCCACAGAATGGTAGATATATCCATAAAATACCCACTAAAGAATGGTCAGTAAAAAAGCTGCAAGCTCTGAAAGTTTATCTTCTATACAAACAAAACTCAAAATTCTTGCAGTATACCGAGACTAACACAGTATTTAGAACTTTCTTTCACACTCAACCCTGAACATTTCTCATAAATTAGTCCAAATAACTATTAAAAACTCGAAAGATCATTTACTTGCATTCTCAGCATATGAAACCAGAAAAAAAAAAAAAAAATCCCCATATGACATTAAAACATTGGCATGCATACATAATTGATTGTCATTTACCTCTCAGTATATGTCTCAAAATTCATTGACACCCAGTTGAAGATTTCATACAAAATACTGAAATACACCATCAAAGAGATCCCTCTGGAAAACTAGAACAAACAGAAAGGAAAAGAAATTCACAAAACTCATCACCACAAGATGCATGTATCACATAAAAACACTAAGCACATCAATCAGTGAGAATTGAAGTTGGCTTGGTTCTCCTCCCAGAAAGATTGTGTACATGTGAAGAGACTTTTTGATGATCGATGCAATCTATTGCTGGGTGCCTCAGAACAAGACAGGTTGTGACATGTGAGCACTGAAGACACACTTAAGTCCAGCTCCCTCCAGATAACCCATTACATCTTTTCGCATTGAAACCAAAATCAATATAGATAGTCAAAATTCACCGCCACAAGATGCAGACATCAAAGAAATATCCAATGCACAACTCAAAAAGTTGAAGCTCCCTCGAAACCTCCCATTCCAACTCTCAATACACAAAACCATGGTAGTAGCAATTAGCAAATAGCTATCCAGTTCATCACAACCCAGATACAGATCTCACGGAATTCATCAAAAGAAGAGATTAGAACTCACCTGAGACAAGAGCACACCGAGACGGAGATAGAACATGCACTAGTCTCGGCTGTGACGAATTTCGGACACCGAACCGATGAAACCGAGCTTAAAAATTCCCAACCAGCTCTAGAACAGTTACGTTAAGATTTAAGACTATAAAAAGGATTAACTAGAGATTACTGATTACGAGATGAACGCCTTTACGCTCTTCCGTCCAACCGAACCACCTAGTTCAACTAGAAAACAAACTTTACTACAGGCTAGCTGTAAAGTGTAAACCGAGAAATTAGCTTTGACTCATGGGGTCGAACTAAAGAACGGCTCCGATTCAATGGCTTTTAATATCAGCGTTGGATTAAGCAAAAAGCTGATCTCGTGATCTTTCCAACCTTTCGTTAACTACCATGCTTCTTGTGGGACCCATGGTAGAATCTTCTGGACCCACCGAGTAATTGCTTCAACCGTTTCATTGAGGGTGGTTAGTGGTTACACAATCAATATGAAAGATGAGCTCGCATCCAGCGAATCCGTCGGTTGATGGGAAGCGTGTACCCTCCAATAGAAGGCGTGTACGTCGTACCCTTCAAAAAGGTGCTTCCGTTAACGTTTTTCTGCTATTAAGTGGATAAATCCGGTTCAACCGGACAGAACAAAAAGGCTGAATTCATTCGAATTTTCCTTCCCCATTTTTCATCATTAATCAAAGTTAGGAATGGCAACGGGGCGGGGATGGGGAGCCTCTCCCATCTCCTTTCCCACGAAAATCCCCATTCCTATTCCCGTCTCCGCTAACGGGAACAAGGTTATCCCCATCCCTATCTTCATAGGGATCCCTATCCCCATGGAAATCTCCATTCTCCATGATTTTTTATAATGTTAATCATTTTGTTTTTGTTTTTTATTTTATTTAAAAAATAAAAATAAAATAATTAACATTTATAATTGTATTAGAAAATATTCAAACACATTCGACCATATTTTTAAAAATTTAAATATATAGATGTATGTTTACATATTTACATATACATATATATTCGTGGGGATCGGGGTTCCCGCGGGGCGGGGAGTGCTCTCCCCGTTCCCACTAATGGGGATGAAAATTTCTCCATCTCCATCCCCATGGGGAAAAATCATCCCCATCTTTGCCCCATTTGAGGCGGATTCCTACAGGAATCGAGAAAATGAAAAAAATTGCTATCCCTAATCAAAGACTCCAAGATCACATCCATTTTCCTTATTGTGGTCTCATTGTCTGAACTTGCTCTGGTGAACCATGCAGCAATTACCACAAAGCAATGGTTAGTCTAGCTCGTAGGCCTTGAATGATCAGACCAGAAGAATGGGATTTGGGAGTTCTTGCTGCCTCTGTGGGGGGCTTGCAAGTTGCAACTACCGACTTATTATTCCAATGAACGGCAACCATTTTTTAGCATTGAATCTCGGACGGAATAGGAATGAAGTGAGATACTATGGACAATGCCGACCAACGACAACGATTTTCTAACATTAAATCTTTGGATGGATCAAGAATGGAGTGAGTCCAGATCTGAGATTCGGTTTGGGGGTAAGACACAGTGGAGCTAACCTGTTATAAATTATCTGAAAACTATTTCTTATAATGAGGCGATAATTTTTTTTTAAAAAATAAAGTTATGTTAAAATAATTTTAGGCATGATTTTTAAAAACGAACCGGTGACTGAACTGGTCAGGGATCCAGTTACTGGTTTGAATGGTTTGACTGTTTGACCCGAATGGTCAGCCCGTTCTGATAAAAAAATAAAAAAATTGGAAAATGGTCAAAATCGTTCGAACGATTTGAATGATTAATCGGCTGATTCAGTGGTTTGCTGACCAAAATCAACGATTTTGAGAGAAAAATGCGGTTTTGAAAGAAAATGAAATCAGTCCCGGTTCTCAAATTTTCCAGTTTGACCGTCCAGTTCAATCCGATTTTGAAAACAGTGATTTTAGGGGTTTTGATTTTATGAAGGAGGAAGTGGAAGTGGTAGCAATTCATATAACAGGAGTGTTCCTATGAAAGGACGGATTGTTATGGCGTTATTAGTAGTTGGTGATTTATTTGTAATTTTATGCCCAACCCACATTTACTATGACATCCAAACTAGGGTCTGCAGCCTGGTTTGCTTCTCTATAGACATGCCGAAAGATAAGTCTTATAGTAAAGGTGTTTTTCATCCTAATGCAAATCTCGATTGTGTTCTTTATCTTCCAAGGGGGTTTCGTCTTTTGGTTGAGGCATGAAATCACCAATTTTGAGTCTCCTTCAATAATGACCAAAAATTGACAGAACTTCATTGCCATCTTAATAGCCTCCCAAGCTGCCCACACTTCAGCTTGATTGATTGTACAACATCCAATCTTGACAGCTTAACACAACCAAGATGGTTGCGGGCAATAAAAGCAATAATACAAGGACCATCTAAGATATGAGAGGCATCAAAGTTGATTTTAATGCTATATTGGAGCGGAGCAGTCCAGATGATGGGCTTCCAAAACTTAGGAGGGGAATCAATGTCTGCACCTTTTTCATTTTCCAAGAATTCCAAAAATGAATGCATGGCACGTTCAAGAATTACTTGAGGAGGGCTCACAATGTTATCAAAAATTTTTTGATTTCGATTTTTCCAAATAACCCACAAAATGAAGGCTATTTTTCTTTAACAAGAAACTTTTTATTATTTTTGTTTGACAGTCTGACCCACCAATCAAGAAGGTTTTGGTCACTATCTAACGGACCCCTAACGGGTCACCGAGGATAGACTAGATTTGGTAGGAGAGAGAACAATGCTTGAAAATATGGTCTAAGTCCTCTTCCTCACCACAGAAACTACAAGCTTCATCAATATCAAAACCTCTTTTCCTCAAAAGCATCTTATAATGAAGCTTAATTTGGAAGAGAAGAAATAGAAAAGTTTTGATTTTTGGAGGGCATTTGATGTTTTAAATGATATCAAGTCACTTTATTGAGTTATTAACCCCGAGGATTGAGGAGCATTTCAGCAAATAGGCTGACTTGATAGAAAAAACTCCTAAAGGGTTTCCATCCCAAATAATTTTATCTTCAAGCCGTTTAGGAGAAATAAAAATGGATTTGATTTTTTCCTAAACATCGTTAGGGACAATTGCGCGAACTCTAGATTCATCCCAACATTCACCATCTAAGTTGATCAAATTTGATACCATAATATTTTCATTTTCCTCATTTTCAATAGAGATTATTTCTGATAAAGTTTTATTGATAACCCATTTGTTGTGCCAAAAACTAATTGTTTGACCATTACCAACTTGGTACCTAATACCTTTTTTCAATAGAGTGGAGAATGCCTTTCCATGCCCAAGAAGATCCATTTTTAGGTTTAATGTCCCACAAAGAAACACCTTTCATATATTTGCTTTTAATGAGTTTAACCCAAAGATTATTTTATTCGTTCAAAATTTTCCATCCTAATTTTGCAAGGCTTGCTTTATTTACTTATTAGAGATATCTAACTCTTAAGCCTTCCCATCTTTTGGGAGTACAAATGTAGTTCCATTTCATTAAATGCAAGGGTTTCTCTTCCCTTCATTCTTTTTCCATAAAAATTCTCTTTGAGCTCTTTCCAACTCCCCAGAGTATTATTTAGAATTTTAAAAGACCTCGTGATATATTGGGGCATCATGGAGTTAATCAATGTAAGTCTTCCTTTTAAGGAAAGATTTTTTTTTTTTCAATTTACAAGGCCAAAATATTCTTTGTAACTCCATTGCAATAGTGCTGGATTAAAAACGATGGAATCATGACTTTTAGATGCATTACCGTTTACAGCAGCTCCATCTTGCGTCTCTTCATTTGAGGTGAGGCTACGATTCACGGTTTTAGCGCAGCGCTGCTCCAACGGGAGTAGCTGATTTTTGCACGACACAAAGACGCTGCAGCTCGATCCTCGTGCTCCATCGCTGAGACTTTAACATTTGGGGGCCACGATGGAGACCGTGTAATGTGCGTACTTTGTACACCGCATCGTGTCTAAATTCAGAGTCGGACTATCAGGATTCAGGACACTACTGGATGGGATGGCTTAAATTTGAAACCCGTATTTTTACGTGGGCCCAGTTCAGTTAACCATCAGATCTTCTCGCAAGAAAGTTGTTATCGGTGCATCACGCTATATTTAAGGCCTTAAGGGAACATGGTTAGCCATTGAACTATGTCTCTTTCCTCCAATCTCTTCATGGCGATGCGATGCTGAGAGCAATGTTTTAAAAGCCGATTTGGGCTGACCATCGATTTTTAGGTCGATAGTTCAATCATTTAGTTTCAATGGATGATTTATTCTAAAAATTTTAAAATTAATTAAAATAAAAATTGTCAAAACTGTAGGGCTGTTTATAAGAAGACCCAATCCGATCAAACTGACCAATTCGGACCGATTCAACTCGAGTTGGCTGGGTTTTTTTCAGCACCGGTCAGTTTCGGATTGTAAAAAATCATAAACCGATGTGAAAACTAAAACCAACCCGAACCGAATCGACTTAGTATTTAGTAGTTAGTTCTTACTTAATAGTTACAACCTATTTAGTTCCTACTTAACTAAGTTGTCTCTATCTTATTTACAATCTAACTTAAATTCTAGTCTTCTAGTTAGAAATGACATTAATGGTAAGTATTGTAAAACAACTAGACAAAAAAGTTTTTTGAAAAACTGAATTTAGGATAAAATAAAACTGATTACCTAAATAATTCTCAAGCCGAATGATCCGACCGTCTAAATCAATAACAACGGTTTGAAAACATTGGCTGAGAGC